CATACTATCTGTTTATCAGGCAGTACCTTTCTGCAAAGCAGCACTCACATGCGCACACCAAGGTCAGATGACCAATTCCAGACAGCATTCAGAAGCTCTTTTCTGGTCTACGAGGCCTGCATGATTCCCAAATACCTGCCACTCTAAGGCTACTCTCCCCTATTAACAGAAGCACTTTAATCTTCAGAAGGATTTTAATCATTTTTCCTTTGACTGAGTCTGCTTTTTCAATACTTGAAATGGCTCAGGTCCACTGACTTTCTTGACTTTTTGCAAGTCTCAGCAGAAGCGTTAGAAGGCAATCAGCTAACTGAGTAACTTAAAAAGTCAAGCTGCATCAAGTACAAGGGAATAAGCAAGTTATGAACAAGTTCTGATATACTGGTCACCCTTCATCTCTAAGCCTGAAAGACAAGAATACTCACAGCAATGCATAACTTCCTTCTGGTGGGGAATAGGAGTATCAGCAAAGCCTAGGTAACGAACAGAAGCTTCACCAGCATACTGTGTACTGCTACGAGCAAGGTATTTAATTCAGATGGGCTGCACCAGCAGTTCCATGAATGCAATAAAAAGCTGCAACGGAAGGACTAGGCTGTTTCTACTAGCTGCTTTACAGTAAAGCCAATAGTTCAGAAGTAAGACTGTCACATCCACACAGGCAGCATGCACATCTCAAAGTTTGTACTTCAGAATTATTAGCTATTCAAACGATATTGATGTAAGCCCTCTGCTAGTAGACTTCATTTTTGACAGGAGTGACACTTCCGCATTTTATAGGGTCAAGCAGCTCTGGACTACAAGCGAGCCTGTCGAGTCCAGGCATCATTACAGATTAGACTTTGGTTCTGTGGAGCGGTACTGCTTATTTGCAGAGTTCCAAAAGCAGGCATTCCTCTACCATAAGCAAATATTTTACCTCAGCAAGGCAGGGCTCAAGCACAGCTTCTGTTTTGCCATGCCCCTCATTTTAGGGGTTCTCAAGCAGTTCATATGGGGGAAATCCATAAGAGACAGTGAATTAACCTTTTATTTGCTCTCCCATTCAAATCAACTCCAAATGGTGTCCTACCTAATCAGTTATGGGTAATATATTTCCTAAAAATAAGCAATGCAGAGAGGGACATGGCTGAATCCAAAGTGTTTTAGCTTAAATCTTAAATAGAAACCATTCATTACAGCCCTCCACTACAAATCTTGTCCCATCTCTAGATATATTTAAAATAAATACAGCATGAAGATAACAGTAACATTAATTATCCCTACACTTCATGGCTATTCTGCAATTGGTTATGCAGCCCGATTTGTCCAAAGCTAAACACTTCTTCTGACAAGAAGAGTCTCACATTTCTTAGACCAGGGAGCCAATAAGCACCTAGACAAAAATTAAGAAAACTACTGCCTGGAAGAACGTGCAATGAATAATACAAGCCACAATCCAACAGCGAGTCTCAGAGTTTGAGACCTTTAGGACTACATGCTTAAAGAACAGCTGCTGCTTCTTAGTGCAGACACGCTACACTAGCTTGAGTCTCTGGAGAACTCCAGCAACAACTGTGTCTCCAGAGACATGCCCAGGACTAGGGCTGACTACTGAGGTTCTTGTACCAGCTCACATGCCAGGAACAATACTGCTTACCAGACTGCAAACAACTTCATTCCATTTACCATCCCTCTTGCCACCCAGAGGAGTTCAACACGCAAGAGGCCATTTTAGATATCATCATTTGCGCTGCAGCAAAGGCTTATTCCTCTTCAGATTTTCTGCTTTAGTTAAAGTTCTCACCAGTGCACTATCAAAGCTTACAAGAACTCTGGAAGAAGCCTCATCGTCCATGGTAGAGTACAAAACCCAAACTGTCAAGTATTTATAAAGCCAGTAGCAAAACTGAGAACTGAATAGTAATATACTGAGACAGATAACACCCTCTAAAAATGCCTAAGCAGCAGCTTTTGTTCCCACTGTCTCTTTGTACTCAGGTCTACTGTGACTAGTTCTACTTAATCCACATTCGGCAGGCTTCTGTTCTTGTCACAAGGCGCAAGAGCAAAGGTGGGAAACTTGCTGTTCTGCTGCTTATTATGACAAGGATGATCATTACGCATGAAATACTGCTGCTGCTTTCCCTAAAGACCAGAACAAAAATCACGACGACATGAACACTCTCCACAGGATTTAAAATAGCTGCAGTGTACATGACCAATGACTATTACCCAAGTCGGAGTGAAATAAAACTATGGTAACTCAAGTTAGAGTACTTCTTTTTCATCTGTAGCTTGACTCACAAATAACTTGAAAAGTAGTGATAGAGCAAATAGTTATATTCCCCTTCACATATTTGGTTCACGTCGGAGATTTTGGCTTCAGCCCCATCACTACTACTCTCCTCAATAACCACTAAGTCTACCAAAATGCTTCCTACTTTGTAGAGGTCAATATACATCATTACTTTAGCAGTGCTCAGTACCACGCTACTTTTCAAGTCTTTAAAGACTCATGTTACCTAACAGTCCCCCATTGTCCTTCAGGATTCTTTTTCTTTGAAAAGGAGCATGAACAATTAATCCATGAGCACCTAATGTTAACAAAGACTAAGCATGTTCAGTTTCTCTTCTGTTGAAAATGCAGACTTGAAATGTAAGTGCTCTGTGAGAATGTTTAATCCTGAACCTGAATGAATACTAAACTACAAAGGAGCTTCATTTAGCTTTGCTTACTGCACTTCATAAGGTACCAGGCAAAAATTACACCCTCCTCACAAAACCTCTGCATTATTTGTTTTCTCATCTTTTTTCCCCCCACCCCTTCCCAGCAGTCACATTTATTCTGTCCTACCACTGACTTTAGTGCCCCAGGTATAACGGCAGGCATATGACCCACCCCCAAAAAAGCAATGATCTTTCAAAACACCTCCAAATCCACAAACGTATCGCTGCAGTAATTCAGAACAGTCTTCACATTGCAATAAGTGTCACTGAAATAAGTGACAGAACGATGCAGACTGAACTGCCACTAAACTAGATACTGATACTAAACTAGAATGTAACTTCCTTAAAAGCAAGTCTAACTCAACCACATCTGAGATTTGTGATCATTTTCTGCCAAATTTTTTGGATGAATCCACTTCTCCCTTACCTGTGCTTCTTGATGACTAGTTAAGTAAAAAAAAAAAATACATATGTATATAACCCATTACTGCACACTTTTGTGAGGAAATTTAAATATACTAACATAATTATAGTCTACACTCGTCCCTTTTATGCTCTACCTATTCCATGAGGATAGGAAAGCCTTCAAGCTCTCTTCAATTTTCTTCCTTCTTCTTTCCTTTGCTTTAATTTGATCATGATTAAGTTTCACAAATACTTAAAGATAACCTACTACCATAGCAAAGACATTAATATGTTGTCTAAATCTTGTATTATATACAGAAGAAAACAGAACTAGCAAGAGACTTTGAACATCTGCCATCAGATTCACGTTTATTTCTCAAATATATTAGACCCACATAGATAATTCAGACTAGAAATCCTAAGGGAGGACTGGCTTCTAGATCTGAAGTTTGCATGCAGATTCTAGGCTGAAAGCTACACCTTTACGCGAGAGGATACCAATTCCCTGCCTGAATCACCAAGGCAATAAAAACACGCTTGAATAGTCCTCTCTGGGGGAGATGGCCTTTTTTTTGCGTCTGAAATATGCTGTGATGATCAAGTAAGCTATAGTCTCAATATCAGAGGGGAGACTCAGAAGCAATGATTTTTCTAGAAAGCTAGCATATGGACCATGGCATGCCTCCTGCCAGAAGGAAAGATTTCTCACACACAGTTCCCTACAAGCATACTAGATAGCTTCATCAAACAAATAATCTGAGTCAATGCTATTCTACAATACACCACACTATTTTGAGTAGCTCAAATGTGACAGACTTACTATGCCTCACATTTCACTATCCAGTACCCACGAGCTCCTTCTTCCTCAAGGAAGGATTAAAAACTTAAACAGAAAGCTTAGAAGCAAGCTATGTCAAAACTTTCAGTGAAAACAGCACTGCTCTACGCCACGTATCCTCTCCTAAAAAATGGCAAAAACCGCTTAACAAAATACCACATCAGTACATGGTATCTTGATGCTATTAAGCGCTAAACATACCCCATTTCTGAAACTGGGTAATTTGAGAATGCATGTGTGTTAAGCAACATTTCATTAGATGCAGCAGTTGCTAGACTGAAGCTGCAGGATGCCATTTCCCAGGAGACGCTGCCCCCC